CTCTCTCTAGAAAGAGGGTATCACGCGCTGCAGGAATATGATTTACCACGAATTTTCGGAAAGTCCCTACAACGACGCGCTTACATATTACTTTCTTTGGGGGGGGGGGGGGGGATGGTGTATGGGACAATTCATTTCCCTTAAGAATTAAATCGCTGATAATCTAAAGAAATAATTTTTGACACAGAGATCAACCACAATTGCCCCCATTCATTATATCAAGACAACCCACTATGGCATATGGCACAAGGCAAAGCATATTTATCACGACTAGTTATAAATAGCAATTTTGTTCTCTTTAAGGATTGGAAAATGTATAAAATCTTTTCCTGTAAGACTAATTTTAGGAATGCTAAATATTGGTGAAGAATTAAGTATTATTAACAGGGTAACTAGTGCCTAAATCTTTTCGCCACTAGTCAAGCTATCCTTGTTTTGGTTTAAGCTCAAGAATCTTAAACTATGGTTAAATGGTGAGAAATAGAGTCTATAATGAAATTGATAGGTTAAACTTTATGACCAAGTATATCTCAATTACACATGCAGAATGAGCAATCGCATGAAAAATTAATTTGATGAAGATAATTATTTTCTTGACTACATAAAATGGTAAATAATTACATAAAAAAACAACTGTATACAATCATCAAATGCTAGAAACAAGTGGAGTCAAAACGATCAATTCTGTCTTAAAATATCTTTCAAGCAGAGAACTTCACGAACGTATGAGAGCACAAAAAAAGGGACAAATGAAGCATTAAAGGAATAAGCATACTGATATTTCAAAAAACTAAAATCAAATAATGCACTGATTTTTTTTCCAAAATGCCAGATTATACAGATAAGGAGCATAAATTCAAAGAAATATTAGATACGCAGTGCTTTGGAACCAATTCTTACTTTACTCAGCTGCGACGGGGACCTATTTGGTTTGTGATTATCTCTGTTGGAATTTACAGCAACCAATGCATTGGATGATTTTTTTTCAGGAGAAGGACCACTAGATAATGTTCTATGAGGACCATTTGCCTCCACAAATTCACTGTGAGCAGCAGATTCTTCCCCATTCAGCAAATTGTGGGAATTAATCAGACCTGTTCCCTTCCTTACAGAGTCACTTACATCGACAAGGTTATCCAGTTGATCAGCTGAAAGCAGAACCTCACTTTCCTTACGTGTAGGCGAAGGTGAAGTAATGACACTAGCATTAAGGAAGTCGTCCCTGCTCTCAGCCAGGAGGGCAACCAATCCCGGTGATAGTTTCTCGTAGTCATACTTGTTAGAGTTCTCCCCTACAATACTCATTTCACTGGAGTTGTGACTGCCACTTACTTCAGTGACAGGCATAGAAGATTTGGCAATATGATTTTTACCTAACGCGACAATCGTGGAGCCTATGGTATTTGCATTTGTTAGTGTTTTATCTTCAAAGAAGAGTGGACCTCCTGTAGGTGTCTTTAGATCTAATCCGGACTCTGATCTAGCAAGACTGCGATAATGCATGGAGAAAGCTGTTGAATCCATTGTAACATCATGATTGTCATCAGAAGCTGCAGAGTCAGACAATCGGCCGGGCCTTATAAAATTGGCTGATACAGGGCCGAAGAAATTATCTTCTGCTTGAGGAAAATTCAGAGGAAAATGTTAGTGATTAACATTTCCGAAAGAAGAAAAACTGTAAGAACGAAGGGACGTAAAAGTATCAGGAGTTTCATAATAAGATACAATCAGAAACCAAAGTCCTGCTACGGCACCAAAATTCTCAATGTCTACAGCAGTAAACTCATTTTTTAGTCTTAAAAACATTTGACAGTTGATACTTGAGCAACTACGAGATACTAATACCATATAAGAAGTAAGGCTTTGGCGAGGCAAAACTCCAAAACTAAAAATAGAATATAATCAATACGTTCAGAGCAAATGTTATTAGTGTTGGCATCAAATTAGGTCCCACGGCAGAAATGATTGAGTCCCAGTTCTTCAGAATTTTCGCTATCATATCAACTGTGAGATATCCAATTCATACATTCCAGATTTTAAACTTTCTGCATTAGTCCTCTCTAGAATTGCCTGCTACTGTGTACCATCACATGTAGAGGTAAATGCCAATATGCAATAACGAGGTAGATAAAATTTGCACCGGTAATTTAACAATCTACAGTGTGCAGATTAATCATATTAAACATCTATAACATCTAATTATATGCAATAAGCACCAGTCTGAAGTTATATTAAACGTCTATAACAATAACTAAAACAGCTCGTACGTCAAATTCAAACTGCACAACTGAACTAGTACAAGTAACTGTAGCATAAATTTGCACCATATTGTTGACAGAAGACTGAAAGTAAAACGCAAGAGAAATTGATCGAAATAATTTCGATGAACCATTAGAGGTGAAAAATTAGTTAACTTGCCGTCATTAGAAGAGGCGGAGCCGAAAGTGCTCCCGCCCGGAGAAGGCGACCCAATTGGCCGGAGAAACGACCTCTGCATTTCCATCTCTTCATCTTCGTCAATGCCATTTCCGTCATCAGAGCATTCAAACTCCTTGTCAAGCTCCAGCTGCCTGAAGAGCCCTGACTGGACCGGAGAATCTTCGCCGAGTTTTGCAGTCTGCGCCAATGGAGTCCCGTTGGACTCTTCGTCGCGGTCGAAGAAGTGAATCGACGTCATCTCGGCAAAGCTCACCCTGCGGGCCCGCTTCTTCTGCAGAGCTATGGTGTCGGAGTTTTCGGTCGCCATATTGTGGCGGTGGCCGTCGGCGTTGGCTTCCTCCTTAGAATCCATGGAAACTGGCGAGCAATTTCGTTGAGTTTTGAGTTTCTCAGAGCTAGGGTTTTACAATTGCCCCTCTCCTCTTTTGGAGGGAAAATAGCCGTTCTTGCTTTGAATGCTTTTCGGATGTAGAACATTTGGAAATTGTATTTTCCACCCCTTATGTTATAGAAATATGAAAATGGTACAAACAATTAATTCAATGGAAATTACAAACAATTAATTCAATAGGAATGTTCTCTAGTCTGTATTCGTTTTGTGCAAAAATGCAGTTTTTGATGCACCACAATCTGATAATTACAAGTCAATAGACACATTTTATGATCATTTTGTTTCAAAATGTGGAGCTCAATTGGGATATAACGGGTACAAACTGGAAAATATTTCACGTAATCTAGATGATTCCATTAAATTTGACACCCTCAGGGGTGGACGTGTAAAAATATTCATAATTGAGAAGTGGTTGTAATTACCCAAACATGAGGATTTTTTTTCATAATTTGACCTTAACTCAGGGTCACTAGTAGAAAATTTGCTTATTACTACGAATTCGGTTGCAACGGTGAAAAACCGTAACAAAAGGTACTATTTACTACGGAACAATTTTGAAGTCGTAGTAAATACTAAGATTTACCGTAGCAAAAAAGTATTTGGTACAGCCATTTACCGTAGCAAAGTTTTTATCACGCCCGTATATGCTACGGGGTAAATTCGTAGCAAATGCATAGCAAAAGTTTTTTTACTACGAATTTGATAGCTTTTGCTACGGTTAATAATCGTAGTAAAAATTTATGTTTCTACTAGTGGATGGTAGTAATTTACCCTGGATTGTATTTGTTCTTTTTTACTAATCTTAAGTGCATTAAAGATTAAATAATTTGAAGTTGAGAAAACAATTATGGGAAGAATTTTAAATTAAATTATTGTTAATTAAAATGACAATTTACGGCCACAGTCTGAGATAAGATCAAATTACGAAAAAAATCCTTCATGTTTAAATAATTATAACCATTCCCTAAATTATATACTTTGTAACAAAAATCCCTTATTTATTAGTAAGTACATTTGAAACCGTAAGGGTGAACGTGTAAGATAATATACGATTAAGGGAAAATTGTAATTACCCAAGTGCAGCCTTACAATTTCCATCAAACCATTATCTTGTTTATATAATTTGTAAGATTGATTAACTCAGAAGCACAAAGAAAGTGTGGAATTTTGTATTACAACTTGAGCTACACAGCTCTCAAGACTTTCACAAAAACAGTTGCAGAGTAATTTGCAACTAAAACAAGTGACAAAGTTTCGACCTAAAGAAGACGGTCTCGTAAACAAAACTAAAACTAAGGGAAGAAGATAGATGTGTAATTCTTTTGCAACCACGTAAAAAACCGATATCATCCGTACAGTGCACGCCAAGCCTCTTTGTCGTCCCTTGAAATCTTGGTTGGATTTTGAACCATCTTTTCTTTCGAAAAAGTGAGAGAAAAAACGCTTGCCAAGTGATCTCCTATCTCGCATATTACCTGACAAAAATTCCTCGTTAGAATCAAAATTAAATAAAGACAAGAGGAAAACAAGCCCGTAAGAGAAAAAAAAAAACAGTTTTGTAAAAGCAAAATGTATCTGCAGGTGTACTTGCTACCGGAAAATACACAAGACAGAAGCTTGGCCCACCACAATTTACGGATAGTGTAAAAGTAGTACCATCACATATTTCAAGTTAGTTTTAACTTTCAACATCCAGTAGAAAAAAATTGATTACTTCACGAGATTGTTCAATTCAAGAAAAAAAGAATCGAGATGTACAATCATCAACCAACAAATTCACCAAATGTGGCAGCGAATGGGATTATATAAAGCAACGTATAACACATTCTAGTTTTTAAGGCAATTGCTACTTTGAGCATGTATATTGTATAATAAGCTCATACGCCGCGTCACAGATGCAACAATTTGAGAAGAAAAAAAGAAGAGTAAAACTTGAGGTCCGTAAACGTAATTTGGTTGGGAAGATAACATGATTAATTAAATAATTAGGTCATATTTGATGTTTGGTTAGTGCAATAGGGTTACTGAGAATTGTACATTGGATCTCCCGTGGTCCAATTATATAATTGGGTTCTCACAAAACTGCATAATCTTATCGTGCGAACCAAACGAGGCCTAAAAGATAAACGACTTTAAATATGCACCACAAAAGACACTGAGATTCAAAGAAAGAAAAGATTAACGTACCTCGAGTTCCTCTTTGGAGTTTTTATTCGATACACTTTGGTCACTTAAGCCAATCAGCACAACCGTAGGAATCTTAATGACGTTTACCAAATGAAGCAACATAGCCAAACCCTCGTGATTAATCTGCGAAAATGGTGGGGATTTTGGCAATCTGGAGCTCAATGCCTCGGTTATATCTGTCGTGTGACCTAATTTGATGCCATAAACTGAACCCTTATCATTTTTTCGTGAATAATTGCTTTCTTGTTTAAGCTTAGATTCCGGCACGATGAAAGGGGCTATTAGCGTTGGCATAGTAGATAAATCGTTTCCAGCTAATTTCAACAAAACTTCGTTCAGAGCACAAGCTAAGAGTGGCGGTTCGTAACTTTGCAAGAGCAGAATCGACACCTGAGAAATATATCGAGTGTTTGAAATATCAATATATCGAAGCTTAAACAATTGTCGATAAATTACTAAGAATAGCAACACTTCGAAACAGTGAGCAAATTATGAATCCCTTTTTTTAGGTTTCCACATATCAAATTAAACCAATAACCAATCTACTATTATAAATCCCTTCAGTTCTTCAAAAATAACTCTCAGAACAATTGAGCAGATATGAACAGTAGATTTAAATCAAATTAAAAAAATCGAAAAAAAATAGCTCGGTATTTAAATAAATTCAAAAGATTTTTCCAGCTCCGGCAATTAATTACCTCATAATGGCCATCGGAATCGATAAAATGAATGATTTCGCCGGAGGCTTTCCGATCTTCGATTCCGTAGCTCTCCAACGGGAACCCAAAGGAATCCTTTCTGGAAAAAAATGAATCGAAAATTCACAGTGTTCTGTTCAGTACTACGGAAAATATAAAGAGCAAAAGCTATCATATGAGGGAAAATTTCAAAATAATACTCACAGCGTTTGGAAATTTGAGTTAGGGTTAGGGTTGAGACCGCCGGATACGGCGGCTGCGAGGGCGTCGCCGCCGTTGAGTAGGAGTATCACTTTCTCGGCGACCTTCATTTTTTCTATGCTTTGTAAAAATATCAGCTTTAATTTAATTTAATAATAAATATATGGCTGAAGGGTATTTTGGTCAAAGCATATTGTTTTAACCTGAACTCGTTGCTGAAATATAATTGAGGATGAAAGTGAAATTAATCAAAAACTACAAGGACTTCTTCTACAAAAGTTGTCATTTTTGTTAAATATCATTATTTCATTAAATTTAGGCTAAATTACGGTCACCCCCTAGGTAGTGTCAAATTACGAAAAAAATCCATCATGTTTGGGTAATTACAAGTTACAACCATCCCTTAATTATGAATCTTCTTACACGCTCACCCTTGTGGTGTCAAATTTACTAGAATCTTCAAGACTATGTGGAATATTCTTCAGGTTGTTATCGTTTTTCCCCGTTCGAGCTCTATTTTCAAAAAGATGATCATAAGCTGCGTCTCTCGATTTGTAAATATCAAATTGTAGTGCATCATAAACTTACATTTTTGCACAAACAAGTACAAACTAGAGTACATTATCCACGAAATCTATAAAATTATGTTGAATCTAACACCATAAGCGTGGACGTATAAGAAAACTAATAGGTGAGGAGATGGTTGTAGTTACTCAATACAAGAGATTTTTCGTAATTTGATATTATCTCTGGAGGATAGGCTTAATTTATCCTTAAATTTATGAAAATACATAAATGTAATCATTTATATATCCTTAAATTGATATTTTAGTGTCTAAATAATTGTTTTTACAACAAGTCACATATAATATTATTTGAATTTAACAATTTAAATACAAAATATAATCATTCAACGAACCGAACATCTTTTACTAACTAAATAACTAATTAAGTGGTGTTTCCAAAAGATTTTTGAAAGTGATTATGAGATTTTTTTTTTGCTCATAATCTGTTCTCGGTTGTTTGCAAAATCAATTTTTGTTTTTGTTTCTCTTAAATTAATCTACTTTAAGCTATATTTTTAAAAGCACCCATAAAATTTGTTTTTTTTATTTAAGTTCATTTTTCGGAATATTTGCAAACACCCCCAACTTATAGAAATGAGCACTTAAAACCAACTTAACTCACAATCACTGATTTATATTTTTAAATAATCATTTGCAAACACCAGCTTAGTCGAAAATTAATTCAAGTTATATGGAGTAATAAGTTACAAGCCTAAATATATAGAGAGAGGCTATTTTCACAAGCATTAATTAGCTATTACGTATTAATTAACGGGCATAATTAAAAACGTCTTATAATGGATGATTAATTATTTGATAAATAAAGGAAAATTAATCATTTGACTTTGTGTAGTAAAGGAAGAAAAGCACATTCTGTGCCTTAACGAATCATCCAAACTCCAATCTCCAAGCATATGTCCATTGGCATTGCACGTGGGAATAACAAGCACCCATTTTATATTAAAGAACAAATAATAACTTGAATATTTGTGTTAGATTAAAAAAAAAAAAAAAAAAATCGTATGTGTACATGCATGCATGTGTGTGGTTGTTTATGCATGTATGTAAGTGTGTGATTATGTGTGCGCTTGTGTGGCATAGTTTCGACGATATGATGGGAGCAACGGAAGTGAGGGTGGAGTAGATTTGACGGACTGCATCAGAATTACACAAAATTTTATTTGACGGAGTGCAGTTATATATTATATTTAGATGGGATAAGGCGAGCCAAAGAGCAATTGGACTTCTATGTAAATGCACACCAAATTTAATTAAAATACATTTTTCATATAATCTGTTTTTAGGTGTTTGCAAAACTGACTTTTACTTTAGATTCTCTTAAAATAAGTTGTTTTAAGCTATAATTTTAAAAGCACTCATGTACATGTTTGTTTCTATTTAAAATTGATTTTTCAGATTTTTTACAAACACCTCCAATCCAACTTTTAGAATTATAACACTTAATATTAACTTAACTCACGGTTACTAACTTATGTTTTTAAATAAGCTTTTGCAAACACCACCTAAATATTATAATATGATAATTAACTCAATCGATTTCATGGGACGAGGTTTAGAGCACCGATTAAGAAGAAAAAAAAAATTAGCGTGAATTAATTCTAGATATATTCATCATAAATTAAATATAATATATTATTGAATATTATTGATTGTGTATTGATCGGATCATGAGCCCTAAATTATGGAAATAGCAATAAAGAAGATCAGTGGACTTGAGCTCTAAGCTAGCTTCTGCATGACGAATTGAAGATCCCCATGCAAAATTATTATTATTATTATTATTTATTAATAAATAATAATATTAATAATAAATAAATAAATTTCTGCAAAACCCCTTTTTGCTCCATATTTGCTTCTTCATTTAACCGATCACGAGAATAATTCTGTGATGCAGCAAAGAATCATAGCTTTTTTTTTAGGGTTAGCTGCATGAGTTACACCACCCAAGTAATAAATATTGTTACATATAATTAATTAATTTATTTATATTTTAATTTTCCCACACGAAAAACGAACTCTACCTTACGTAAAGTTGCCCGACTACGATTATATACTTCTTTTTATCCATTATTCACACAAACTTTCTTGATCAATACTCCTTTTAGTGAGAGAAACTATAAGGATTTTCAAGTCCTCTCTCTCTCTCTCTCTCTCTCTCTCTCTCTCTCTCTCTCTCTGTGCAGAGAGATGTGGCCTTCATCATCATCAAGAAAGCTACCTTGGTCTTCATATTTTTCATTTTCTCCTTCCATATTAATTTTCTTACTTTTAACCCCTTTGCTCCTCTTCTCAATTATTGCATGTAATTTAGGTCCTCGAAAATCTATTACTTCATCGTTTTCGTGGAAATCCCTCGAGTTTTTAAGCTCGTTTTCTCTCGGTAATTCATTCGGCAATAATACTATCGAAGATCAAAATAGTCGAATTTCCACTAACGTATCCGATTCTATCGTCTTGAGTGGCTCTCTATTGCATCACGAAATAGTAAGTCTCGTATAATTATATATCTTATATATTTTATTTTGTTTCGAAAAAATAATAATAGATAATTATTGTTTGTTACTATATGTGATCAGAAGAAAGAGGGTAAACACGATTTATCGAGCGCAGAATGGCGGGGGTTTGTGAACAGCGGTTTACGTAGAAGTTACAGTAAATCGGAAAAGGTTGAGGCTGTTTTGGCGAACGCTCGTCGTTTGATTAGAGAAGCTTCTAGAAACAATAGCTTGAACTCGTCAGACATCGAACACGATTCTGGCTATGTGCCTCAGGGGCCAATCTACCGAAATGCCAACGCCTTTTATCGGTATATTATATACATAGTAGTTTCTGCTTTTTTGTAATCGTAACGGGATTTTAATTCACACAAAAATATTTTACGAGAAACAAAAACCCTTCGCTATTTTGTTATCAAGTTAATTATTTGAAAATTATATTTTCTTCTAAAATTTTCTACGAAATATTTTCACTAATTACAATAAAAGATCCACCACTCGAATCCACCACTTGAATAATTTAGTGAGAAATTTTATTTTTGTAAGAAATTATAGTTTTTATTCTCAGTAATTCATTATTGATTTTGTTTTTTAATTCCTTTTGCATTTTGTATGCTTGAATTTATGTTGCGGGTAGAAGAAAAATAACAATTTCATTTGTCATTTGCACCTTGGAAATAAAAAGACCAAAAAAATTGAAATCACGCTCATTCAATTTTAAATATTTAACTCAATGTGCAATATTATTAATAATTTATTGTATTTCGAAAATGTAAAGTGCTATTAATATTTTTTAAAGGTGCAAAGTGTCAAAATTTTACATTTCAAGGGTGCAAAATTAGATTAAGCAAAATTGAAATCAATAGTTTGACCTATTGATTTGATATTTAATTTATTGCGCTATGTTCATGTGACTACTTGTTTGGTTGACTTTTACATTTTTTTATGAATTTATTTATTCCATAATATGAATATATTATTTTTTTATTTTGTCACTACATTTTATATTTAATTTATGGAAAAAATACAGTTTTTGCCCATCAAGTTTGCACCGATTTCACATTTGGTCCCTTATGTTTCAAAACTTCAACATTTTTAGTCCCTTCCTTCAATTTCCCGTGTGCCCATCACTACCTTAACTAACTTAACAGACTAACGGTAAATTGACGAAAAATAACAAAAATTGTTAATTTATTGGAACAATATGAGGGATCAAATCTGAAAACAGTGCAAATTTGATGGATGAAACTGTAATTTCTCGTTTAATTTATATTTAATTTTGTACGTACTTGCATGCATGCAGGAGCTACAGAGAAATGGAGAAGGTGTTCAAGATATACGTGTACAAAGAAGGAGAAGCTCCGATATTCCACAACGGCCCATGCAGGAGTATATATTCTAGTGAGGGAAGGTTCATCAACGAAATGGAAAAGCATGGGAATCATTATAGAACCAACGATCCAGATGAAGCCCACGTGTACTTCATGCCTTTCAGTGTGGTTGTGATGGTCCAGTATTTGTATGAGCCCGGTGCACTCGATATGAACCCCATCGGCAACACCCTTGCTGATTACGTTCGCACCATCTCTCACAAGCACCCCTTCTGGAACCGCAGCCTCGGCGCCGATCATTTCATGCTCTCTTGTCACGATTGGGTAAGTTTTTTTTTTTTTTTTTTTTCCTTTCGTAATTCCGGTGAAATTATAATTTTGTTGATCAGATAGATCGGATCGGAATTTCGGAAATCGGAATTTAGTGATTGAAAAAGGTTTCATCGATCGACCACTTTTGTGTAGGGCCCACACACAAGTTCGTACGTGCCGCTCCTATTCAAGAACTCGATAAGAGTCCTATGCAACGCCAACACTTCAGAAGGGTTCAACCCTCTCAAAGACGCAACCCTACCCGAAATCAACCTCAAAACGGGCGAAATCACCGGCCTCCTAGGGGGGCCGCCCCCTTCGCAGAGGAAAACCCTAGCTTTCTTCGCCGGAGGTCTCCACGGTCATATCAGACACCTCTTGTTACACCATTGGAGAGATCAAAATCAAGACAAAGACATACAAGTCTACGAAAAGCTACCATCGAACATGTCGTACGAAAAAATGCTAAAAACGAGCAAGTTTTGTCTTTGCCCTAGCGGGTACGAGGTGGCGAGCCCGAGGGTTGTGGAGGCAATTTACGCGGAGTGTGTGCCTGTATTGATATCGGATAGCTACGTGCCGCCTTTTAGCGACGTGTTGAATTGGAAGAAGTTTGCGGTGGTGGTGGCGGTGGAGGATATTCCGAACATAAAGAATATTCTGATGGGGATTTCGGAGGGTAGGTATTTGAAGATGCAGAAGAGGGTGAGGCAAGTGCAGAGGCATTTTGTTGTGAATGGAAATCCTAAGAGATTTGATTTGTTTCATATGATTGTTCATTCTGTTTGGCTTAGGAGATTGAATCTTAGGCTGCATGCTTCTCTCTAAGTTGTGTGTGTGTGTGTTTGTTCACACGTGTGGTGGATGTGTTTTAGGGTTTTTTTGATGCTGCACACCCGGTGAAATACACTGGGTGATTATTAACCGTCGATCTACACATAATCACATATACACTTATGTATATGTATGTGTGCAGGTTAGTGGCAAGTTATTTGATTACCATATCAACGGTTAATAATCACATGGTGTAACATCTCAATAACCGTGTTTTAGGTCATATTGTGCGCGGTTCGAGGGTTAAATTGTGCGTGTCTTGAGATGTGTCGATTATTATTTTGGGTCATATATATGCAAGACTAAAACTACTTGTGCAAGATCAAATTAAAATTTTCACAGTATAAATACTATAATATCATTACTTGTTAAAAAAATAGAAAATTACAAATGTGCAAGACCAAAAATTCAAAAACACAAAAAACCATATCACAAGACCACAAGACCAACTCTCATCTTTTCCATCTTCCAAAACCCACAAGACCTTTCTCCTTCCTCCTTCATAAACCCACAAAACCTAAACATTCAAAATAATCAAAACTCAACAAATCTTACAAAGATGGTAAGTATGAAGTCAGAAGACATCAAAATAGAAGATTCTACGGTGGAAGAACCCAAGAAGGTATGCATTTATGGGTTATTTAGCTAGAATATCGTTTTTCCAAAAAAAATCCCGCGCAAACGAATTCGACAAGTACAGGTCGAATTTTATGGGTAAAAATCGACATTTAGATGTTGATTTTGATCTTGCACAAGTGAAATTAGTATTGCATATTACCGCAACCTTATTATTATTATAAAATTTATTATTATTTTTTTTTCATTTCCTATTTTTCAGTATGTTTTCTCTAACGACGATTTCATAGTAAATCAGATTTGCAAATTGGCGAGCAAAACCCTAATCCACTAAGAATGTTCATATTTTCATTTTGTATGAATATTGATGTTATTTTAGTAAATTAAATTTCATAATCAATTATTTTAATATTGTGTAATTTTGTTTTTAATACAATTTAATGATCATATAATTAAAAAAAAAACTCCCTTTAGCAATGCTACTCCATACACCGCACATGAAGAATTGCTGGTTATTTTAAGAGAAGTTTTTCTGAAAAAAAAAAAAAGTCAAAATCACTTTTCAAAAGTTTTTGCAATCACCAAACTTAATGGACTTTGGCCCAATGGACCTCTCTCTAAGTTGACTGTTGAAGTATTCTTCCTACATATTATGTATGATGTTATTACACTCATTGGTCTTCTTATTACAAGAAGTTTCATTTGAAGTTTCTCAAATAGTTTTTGTGTTTTGACTTGAAATTAATTAATTAAATAAATAAATAATATATTGGTCTTAGGCAAACCAGCTACTCCTTTGACTAATCCAATTTCAATCTTTGCCAAACATGCCTATATTGTTGATTTATTTATTGTATTAACTATTGAATAATATTTGTTGATTTATTGTATTAAATAATAATTGTTGTTTTTTGACTCGTTTCTAACTACCTATTCCCAATTTTATTACTCCTTTTTTCTTTGCATTTTTAATATTATATGACCAACATACATCATATAGAAATTGTTTATTAATTAATTATAAACTATTAGAGAATTATTATTTTTTATTAAAACATAAAGAATAGAGCATATTAACTATATATTTTATGTAATAGACAACCAAAAGCTAAAATCTCATGATAGTTGGGATATTTTTAGAATTATTCATCGAAAATATATAAATAAAAAAATATCTCATTAATGAAATAACAAATATTAATACAAGGAATCAAACATTTTTCTTTCTTTAAAGCGGAATCAAACATCTTATTAACTAATTAATTTATTCACTAGAAAAATAATACAGTCCAAATCCAAATTAATTCAATACGTGCAGCATAAAAAAATCCTTAAATTAGCAAAACAAAACAAAAATAAAAAAGTAATTAATTAATTTATTTTCTTAATTTTTTTTAATTTTAGCAAATAACAAGAAATTGCAATTTCCAATATTTTCTTGGGTATAGTTAAATTATTCAAAAAATTCCCACTTTTTTTTTTCAACTATCTTTAATTACTCCATCTGTTCCACAATAACTGTCTTTTTTTTAAATTATTTTTGTTCCATATTATCTGTCACTTTACATTTTCAATACTGCATTTATTGTGTTATTATCAATTTTAACCTTATTAACTATCTCAAACACTCTCTTACATTAATTATTGACAAGGACATTTTAGTATAAGTACATATATTTTTCTAAAATTAAGCAATATTTCTTGAGATCCTTAATCCTTGTGGACAAGCTAAAAACGACAATTATAAAGAAACGGAGGCAGTATTAATAATACTTTTCTTACTACAAAAGAATATAATAATAAATAAATTCTTACAGCATTCTTATGTGAAACCGCGTCAATGGTGGCATTGGGCAACCTGAAAAAGGTATTTATTTGCAATATTAATATATTCAAAAGTCTTTGTTTCAAACATCTTCTTCTTCTTCACTGACGACTGCACCCCATTTTTCCAACCTCCATTTCTCTCTCTCTCTAGCTCTCTCTTTCTCTCTCTATAATTCCAAGAAGAAGTGAGAGAAATTTTTACTTTTATTTATATTTTTTGTAGCCCATTTGTAAAAAGATTGAATCTTTGAAGGTCTAAAGCTTGAATCTTTCTCCTTAGCTTCAGATTTTTTGGGTTCTTCAATTTTTTTATTTTATTTTATTTATTAATATTAACCCAGCTGATTCGATTTCTGTACTCCAATGGCGTCAAAAGCTTTAATTTTTGCTGTGGGTTACTTCTTCTACTTGTTCTCATACGCCGCCGTTTTAGCTAACGGCGGCGGTGGAATTCAAACCCTCGCCGAAGAAGCAAACTCCACCGCCACCGCCATGGAAATGCCCACCTTCAACGGCGCCGTTTCGGATTGCACCTTCTCAAACTCAGGCCCAATCAAATTCGACGGAAATCCCAAAGTTAAACCTAATTTAGTCCTCAATTTGAAGCACCGATCCGCCGGAAAACAAATCAACCCATCGGATTCCGTCGCACAATCCACCGCAAAGGACCTCTCCAGAATCCACACACTCCAATCAAGGATACTCAACAAGAAGGTCAACAACAAACCCACCGCCGATCACCGGAACCCCGCCGCCGCCGCGCCGGAAAATTCCACCTCCGGCGAATTCTCCGGCCAGCTCATGGCCACGCTGGAGTCCGGCGTTAGCCTCGGCTCCGGCGAGTACTTCATGGATGTATTCATCGGTACACCGCCGAAGCACTTCTCGTTGATCCTCGACACCGGCAGCGATCTGAACTGGATACAATGCCTCCCTTGCCACGACTGCTTCGAGCAAAGCGGGCCCCACTATAACCCGGAGAAATCGAATTCTTACAAGAACATAACGTGCAGCGACCCCCGCTGCCACCTCGTCTCGCCCCCCTCGCCCCCGGCACTCCCCTGCAAAACCATAGACCAAACGTGCCCTTACTACTACTGGTACGGCGACAGCTCGAACACCACCGGAGATTTCGCGCTCGAAACCTTCACCGTCAATCTAACGAACCCTAGTAACGGCAAGCCCGAATTCAAGAAAGTCGAGAACGTAATGTTCGGATGCGGACACTGGAATCGAGGCTTGTTCCACGGTGCGTCGGGATTGTTAGGACTAGGTCGAGGCCCTCTGTCTTTTTCGTCGCAGCTGCAATCTTTATACGGCCACTCGTTCTCGTATTGCCTAGTCGATCGAAATAGCAACTCTAGTGTTACTAGCAAGTTGATCTTCGGAGAGGATGAAAAATTACTAAAACACCCTTTCTTGAATTTCACTACATTGATAGTCGGAAAAGAAGAGAGTGCTCCGGTGGATACGTTCTACTACGTGCAGATAAAATCGATTCTTGTCGGAGGTGAGGTGATGAACATTCCGGAAGAGACGTGGGTTTTGTCTTCGGAAGGTTCCGGAGGGACTATAGTGGACTCGGGAACCACGCTTAGCTACTTTGCGGACCCCGCGTATAAAATTATTAAGGAGGGGTTTTTGAGGAAGGTTAAAGGGTATCCGATCGTAGAGGATTTCCCGATTCTTGATCCTTGTTATAATGTGTCCGGTGTGGTGGGGGACTTGGAGTTGCCCTCGTTCGGGATTGTGTTCGGAGATGGGGCCGTGTGGAATTTTCCGGTGGATAATTATTTTATCAAATTGGAGCCGGATGATGTGGTGTGTTTGGCTATGCTCGGTACGCCTAGGTCGGGTTTGTCGATTATCGGGAATTATCAGCAGCAGAATTTTCATATCATGTACGATACGAAAAGGTCGAGGCTCGGTTTTGCACCTACAAAGTGTGCTGATATGTAGTGTTTTTCTCTTTTTTTTTTTTTGAATTAGTGTATAGATTTTTTTTTGGATGAGTTTATTGTGTTTAGTTACCCTTGTGTTGTATCTAATTGCTAAAAAGCTCTTGTGTGTTATTAATATTAGCAAAAGACCCTTTATAATGCAGTTTCTGCAGCATACAGCCCCTGAACAATGAGTTTTTAGGGGTAATTTGCTACAAAAATTGAATTATAGGAGGTTTTTTGGCTAATAAAGGTAATATGGGGAGTTTTTTAACAAGTAGAGAAAATGCAGGGGTGGCGAATGCAATAAACCTCTTTTTTCTGAATGTTTGGTGGGAAACTGTAAAGAACATGGGATACTTGAACACAGTTTATTTAGTAGAGGTAAAGGATTATAATTTATAAAACAAGAAAAATTACATTCATTGTGTTGTTATGACTAAGCTAAAGTGTAATTAAAAAAAAAACCTTTTTTTTTTAAATTACATTTTAAAATTACATTCAGCCGCTGAAGTTTGTAATAAATTTTTTTACAAATTACAGGGGTGAATGTAATTATAAAAAAATAGAGGACAAGTTACGGCCACTGCCCTGATGTAAACTTAAATTACAAAAGAACCCATCTTATTTAGATAATTACAACTACTCCTTCAACTATGTATTGTCTTACGAAAAAACTCTTCCTCTAGTAGGTAAATTTACGTGTTGTAAGATTTCTTGTCAATTTTACAACATTGTATAAATTAAAACATTGAAAAAATAATTCGAATTCATAATCATTTATAGCTTAGTAGCTTTTTTTTTTTTTTTTTTTTTTTGAATATTTTAGTTTAAAATTAAATTCAAATAAAATGATTTATTTAGCCAATGAATAAATCAAAATGACATTTGTCTTAACCTAGAACGAATTTGTCGAATTTCGCCAATTTCGAAAGTCGGAAATTCTATTCCAATTTCGATCCAAAAATCGGGAACAACATTTTTCATTTAGAATTTCAAAAAAATCTAATTTCTGATTTTCTAATTTTGAGAATAAACAAAAAAATAATAGTGAAATTCCAAATATATATATATATATATAAAGCATTTTCTAATAGTTTGGGGTTTGACAAAAGTTGAATGAAGAAAGAGAGGGATTTGCTCAAAACCCTCAGCAGAACCTTCTTCACTCTCCACCACCATAAACCCTCCATCACCAAGGCAACCATTCCTCTCTCTCTCTCTCTCTCTCTCTCTCTCTCTCTCTCTCTCTCTCTCTCTCTCTCTCCGTGATTCTATATATATTTATATATACGCATATGTATGTATATGTAATTGCTGTGTGATTGATTGATTGTATGTATTATTTACAGATGGATCCATCGGAAAGATACTGTTACAAGCCGACATTGCGTTGGAACTGTGAAGTGGAGGAATTTTTCGTTAAAGCCTACGGAGCTGACCGTTTCGCTCAAATTTCCGAGGCCCTAACGTATGTATCACCTCTGTTTTTTTTTTTAAATTTAATTATTTTGTTTACTCCGCTGGTTAATTTCACGACATTTCAGTTTCCTTGTATCGATCTTTTGGTAATTGGTAGTCTAATTTATTTTTTATTTTTTGCTATTTGGTTTCTGAGGAGGATTTAATGAGCAGAAATCCAATTTCTTGTGCAAAATTGGGTGCAATTGCATTCAATTGAAACACATTGTTGCTTGATTGTCGGTGAAATTAATTTCGGAATATTCGTTTTTCTGAAGCACAGTTGTATATTTGGGCCGTTTATTCTACTAAAAAAACGAAAAATTGCATGATCGTAATTGTATGCGTGGAAATTTGTCTCAAATGTGTCGTGTTTCCATGGTAATTATTTCAAATTATCAGGCAGTATTTCCATATATGTGAAAGAACAACATTAACATTTATGCGAATGATCAGTTATTGCTGTGTTTTTCCCCAAAATTTGGGGTTCTTAGTAAAGAAGTCTTGTCACTCTGTTGATCTTGGTATATCCTGTTTCTGCCATTTCTCTGTTCAGTATAAAAACATTTGTCGAGCAATGGCTAGTATGGAATAATAACAATTACAAAATAGTAGTATTTTATTTCTGATGTGTTGTAGCTAAGAATTTGATTTGGGGTTATCACCATACGTGTAGTATTATAAGAATCGGGAATGCTGGTTTCCCCAATCAAGTTATGTCTTGTTGCAAGTTAATTCTTTTGTGTTTTGTTTTAGGCGGCCTTCGTGTTACTCTTGTATACGGGTTAATACGCTCAAGACAACAAGTGATACTGTTATCAAGAAGCTATCGGTTTTACTACAGGAGAGCGGGTGGCAAAGTAATCCTGCTGGTGGAGCCAGTTCTCCTCAAGAATCGAATGGCCTTGAGAAAAATAGTTTTATTTCAAAGTGTAAGATACCCAATTTGGACTATGTAGTTTTCGTCCAAGGATCAGGACCACACACAATTGACTACGGGTACACTGAAGAAAACCCTCCTAAAGAGGTGATTGTGAGTCGAAAATGTGCTGAAGCAGTTCTTCGTGGTGCTCGTGTAAGTATCCAATTTTTGCCTTACCATGAACTGACTTTTTCTTGAAAAATGTGAGGTGGCAAAAAAAAAATGACCTCCAACCCACTTTTCTGGTATTGAAACATACGGTTGCCGCTATTTGATTAGGCCCCATCTGCTCAATGCATTTTTTTGTGTCTTAGTTCCATTTGGTTCTTAACTTCTTGTTCTCGTTTTTGTAGTTTTTACTACAGTAATGTATTCTGTGTAGCTTTCTTCTGAAGTAGTAGTGTAAGTGTAATGAAATGCGAATTTTTGCCTTGCCAATTTGATATTGTATGTTTAGGTGTATGTTCCTGGTGTTTTGGCATGTAGTGCTCATGTGGAGAAAGGGGAACCGGTTGCAGTTTCAGTTGCTTTGGAGCGACCTGGCACTGATGGTGGCTATGGAGTTGGTTTTACACGTGGAACTGTACTACAGGGATCAGAAACAGGTAATAGATTCTCACTGGACCACATTTACTTTTTGGTGTATGTTATATGCTTTCATCACGACCAATTTACTATATCTCTTGGGTCTTTGGTTTGAATGCTGCTTTGAATTGTTTTGCAGATCCTTATTATTTTGAAAGAAACGGCCTCTACATTGGTCAAGGAACCACTACGATGTCGAGAGCTGGGATGTTTCGGGAACCCAATGGAGTTGCTTTAGAGATGACCAACAGAGTATTTAATTTACCGTCATTTCGTGGTATAGATTTTATTCTTTTTGCAAAGTACCACGGTCTCTTGACAGGATACATTGGTTAGGTGTTTGAGCGTACGCACTTCTTGTTGTTTGTTTATTTGCATTTTAGCTGTTTACAACATAGGTCTATAGCTTATGTACATTTCTTCAGAGGTTTTGAAAAGGTTTCTGGAAAAAAAGAAAATTTCAATGAGTTGAAGATTAAGATAAATTGAGATAAAGATGAATCTTACTAAGAAGGTAGAAGTTTCAAGTATCACAATTAGCATGAAAAAATTAGCGCAGTTTGTGCTTTGCAGTTTCATTAGCGTTGCTGCGTTACTGGCACCTTTTATATATATGAATACCACCCTTGAAACGGTACCTTCAGTCTGGGCACTCTGAGCTTCTTCGTATGTTCTTATTTTTTTCTTAGGAACAGTGAAAGGAGAAATTCATATTGAGCATTAAATTCATAAGAACTGTTCACGTGCACATATTGTTAATACTGCCCTATTTAAGTAATAGTTTCCGTTTTTTCCATGCAAAATATGATTACCATTATACGCAATAGTTTTTTGCTCTGAGCTTCATAATCCTATTCTTTTTGCGTAATGGTCATGTGGTCTGGATGTCATAATTTACCATAACTGATTCAATGAGATTACAGATTTACTCGAGGGGGACATATTTCTTCAGAACCTCCCCAGCATCATCACTGCACATGCTCTAGGTATGTAACGAACTATCCATGTCGGTTTTAGTTGTAACTATTCATTTGCGATCTTTTTTAGGTTTTGTATTCGCGATGTGGTTTTCCATTCAATGCAGATTGATATTCTGCTCAACTATGTACTAACTATCAATTAAATTTTCGACTCGAACTGCTATTTGCATAAAATATATCTGATTATCTATTTTTGTTGCTAATTTGCCCCTATTCCATCTTTCTTTGTAGATCCTCAAGAAGGAGAGAAGATATTAGATATGTGCGCAGCTCCTGGAGGAAAAACCACTGCAATTGCGATCCTCATGAAGGACAAAGGAGAGGTTATTGCAGCTGACCGATCTCACAATAAGGTGTACATTCTGATAAATAAACTCAGATATTACTATATTTCATCAATTTGTTCTATAAGATAAGAAGACTACAGAAATAGTATGCAACTAAAAGAATCAGACACAGCTCTTCTTACTTTTGCAATCTATAAGAACTTCCTGTATTCACTTGCATTTCTTTTCTTGTGTCGTTGTGTAACCGTCGCTTTTCTGATTATTTTTTATTTTTATTTATCTATTCATTACTTTGTTGACACATCTCGCCAGGTGCTTGACATCCAGAATTTGGTGGCTGAGATGGGCTTAAAATGTATAACTTGTTACAAACTCGATGCACTCAAATCTGTTAGGCAAATAGATGAATCCGATCGTCAGGATGCTCGGGAGTGTGTGGAGAGTGAGAGCATTCAAAGATTAGAATCATCAACACCAGGTATGGATACAATATCCGACACAGCTCTTAGTTGTACTCGTGCTGAGTTTACATCTCAAACTCCACTAATGCTAATCAACTATAGACTGAATTTTGGTGAATCGTTGCAACATCGTGCGTGCAGCAACAGTGTGATTACTGAAAAAGGTTTTCAACAAACAATCTCCATATCAGGACCACGGGATTCTTTGTAGTGTGGCCCTTATGTATTATATCATCAATTTAAATACGGTCGAAACAATCTCTATGGACTACGAGGGGGCTTTTCCAGAAAGTTGGGACTACTTTTAGTTTATATTTCAATTTCTAAAACTGCATCGCGCGGTTTAAAACTACTATTGCTTAGTATGTTAACTTGAAGAGACCTATAGCATATGCATTAGTGTATCAGATTATGAAAACCCCTATTTTTTACCACTTATGTAAACACTACTTATGTTTATTACCTCTATTGTTTAAATACTACTTATGTTTACTAGCCCTCTTTGTTTATTTTTATTAACTCTGTTATTTTGATGCATGCTTAAAAGCAGACTAATTCATTCTTCTGTTAATTTTACATCTCCTCTGAACCGGATAAAGTGGCTACCAGTGAGCAACTAACGAATGCAAATGGCACCAGTATAGCTGAGCTCCGGAAAAACTCTGGTAAAATGAAAAATGGAGTAGGACGACATGATTCTGTAGGTGGAAGAGTTGAAAGGTCTAAAGGATTCTTACCTAACAGCTTTGATCGGGTTCTCCTCGATGCTCCTTGTTCTGCTCTTGGTCTGAGACCTCGATTGTTTGCTGGAGAGGCAAGGCATATCTGCTTAATCTGCCTTTTTTTGTTTTTTGTCTTTTCTACCATCTACATGGTGCTTACAATGCATCTGTAATTCTTCAGGCTCTGTTTTTTCAAATAATGTCGACGCAGGCTGCATCGAACTTGTATTATATATATCAGCTAGGTCTGATTTATTCATTACATAAATATGTTTTTGTTTGTAGGACACTATGAAATCATTACGAGCCAACGCCAAATATCAAAGGGGGATGTTTGACCAGGCTGTTCAGCTTGTTCGCCCTGGTGGCGTTTTGGTGTACTCAACGTAAGCAGTCTTATCTCATCCTATGTTACCATTCGTACAGTTTTCGTAAAAAAATAAATCCATGCCTTGTATGCTTGTCAACTTGTAAGCAAATCCTATGAATTGAATATATAGCCTAATGCTATCTTATCTGGTAAAACTCTAACCAAAGAGTATCTAACTAAGCAACTCTCGTCATGTTTGCACTGTTTTTATTTTTTGTTTTTCTGCTTCGGCTAGTATCTTTTTTATCATTTACTTCCGAGATTGTCTAATTTTCTATTATTGTGAGCCCAATCATATTTGAGTGGATTATCACTTTCTAGTGTTTGCAAACTGCAGATGTACTATAAACCCCGGTGAGAATGAAGCGTTGGTTAGATACGCATTAGACACGTACAAGTTTCTCTCCTTGGCATCACAGGTTAGCTCGAAGTTTAAAGTTCTTCAGAAACAGTTTGTACATGCGGGCTGAATGCGTATTATGTTAGTTAACGCTCGTATTCATAATTGATGGTCACATCTGTTTGTTAAATTCATGCAGCATCCAAAAGTCGGGGGACCTGGCCTTATTGGAAGTTGTCAATTTTCCGATGGATACCAGGAGTAAGTCTTATCTGTCAATTTTTATCAATTTACTTCTGTAGAATCAAAATGTATTACATTGAATCAAAATATCGAGTTATTACCATTAAATGTTCATCACTTCGTCCATCGACTCTATGACGCGACATGGGGCATGCATTTTTTTATTAATATTATCGGAAATTATGGGGCTATAACATGTTTGTCCAATTTATATAACCATTTTAATTAGTATTTGGTCAAAATCCTCTCCCATGTTATGAATTTTTTTAAAATAGCGAAGCAGCTAACTGATATTCCATGTTCCGTTTTTCAGGGAATGGTTAAGACCGGGTGAAGAAGACCTCGTTCAGAGATTTGATCCTTCGTCGCAACTTGATACTATGGGCTTTTTTATTGCCAAGTTCAATGTTGGTCCTAAAGATGTCTGACTCGCAAAAGTTACATGCCTCGGGATTATATTCCCAATCCTAACGAGCTAAGCATTCTTTTTTCTCTATTAAAACTAGAAATAACTCGTACATTGACCTATTGTTGCAATTGTTGTATTTATAGTTCATTATTGTATCGAGACTTTTTTGATGCAGTTGTTGTATTTATAGTTCATTATTATATCGAGATTTGAATAATCGAAGTGTATCCAATCGAAGTGGATCGGTTGAATGACGACTTTCATCTAAAAGTTTAAGCTGTTCGTGAAATGGATCATTTAATACTTATATTACCGGCAAAAGTAGTACTTATCGCGAGACTTGCATTCTTACCATATGAAATACGAGTGTTACAATGAAGGGGCGTTTCTCTTACCCCTTATAAAGTGTGTGTGTGTGTGTGTGTGTGTGTGTGCGTGTCCTAATTCTCTTGCCACAAGCCCAAGTACCCAATGTCATCATACACAATTGGAGTGTGAGAAAGGGAATAGTCTTGTATTTCAAACACTTGATTCATATCTTCCATGCATATCCCTCCATACATATCATTGCAGAGTGGAGATTCTTCTTCCACCAAATCGAGCCAGTCGAAATTTTGTGTGTTGTCGATATCATCGAAACACCAGTCACTGTCGAACAATAAATCGGGAATTTTTGACTCTGCAAACTCCATGAGAGTTTCGTCACCATCATGTACTACTCCCTCTAGGGGCTCGTATAGCAGCTCTCGGATTGTGTTTGGGTCAAATTCTATTGCTTCTAGCCCTTCGAATTCGTCAATGGTGAGAAGAGAAGATTGGGATAAAGAAGATGGTTCTGTTGAGCCCATCTTTTTTAAAAGATCAAAAAAATTGATAGATATGTAGATAGAAATAGTGTGTGTATGTATGTGTATGCTAGAGAGAGAGAGAGAGAGAGAGAGAGAGAGAGAGAGAGAGAGAGAGGGTGTGTGTGTGGGATATGATTGATGGGGGCAAAGGACAGCCTTAAATAGGCAACTTGTAACTGTCCAAATAGTACAACATATATGGTAATGACAGTGTTGGGCAAAAATAATAATTGTAGAATAAAAGTGGGAAGAAATAGTAGGATGCATGCTTCCATGAAATTGATAGGGACATTTATCTGCCTCTTACATATTTTTATTAAGAATTGGGCGAATTTACGGCTATGCCACGTGCAAGTTCGACATGTGAACCGACTATGGAATCATGGTTCAGTTATTTGGTGACCGCGATTCTTGATTTGTCTCGTATTACACGGGCGGGCTGGTTGCGGTTCATGTTTGTTTTCGAAATTACAGTGGCAACAAAGACACCTCTTTATATTCAATATTCGAGGAATATTTTCTGAGAATGCAAGTTCAAAATTAATTTTGTGATTAGTGTTCACTACTTTCTTGAAACTTAAAATTGATCATAAATTAGTAAACTCTCTCTCTCTCTCTTAGGTACAGGTTCTTTCCACAACAGCCATGGATCCGAGAAAACAATTTAGAACAACTGAAAATGAGAAATAAATTAATATATTGAAGAAGAACGGCTTAGTTCCCTTTTCCAGTGTTCATACAGTTGATCCAAGGTCTGGTGGTAGCACCAACTGAAAACAAGCACCAAGCAACAGCCATTGATCCAAAACCCTAGATCCGTCCCCTAAACCTCACTCAGAGTTGACGCACCAACACATGCACAGTCAACTCAGTGGATAAGTCACCCTCTCCACTCAGCACAAACCCAAATTTCTGCACTCAGATCACAGAACCCCTCACAGAAGAGGATTAAGGTCAGAGAAATCACTGTTTGAATAAAAGGTGAATCACACTTGTCTCTCTCTCACCACAGTATAAATACACGAAGTTTCAACGGTCTTCAGCATTATATGTGCTGCGACGGCAAGGACACCCATTGTCCGGCCAGACCTGCGATGGTGTCGCCGGAAAACGACAATGGGTGACGAAACACTGTAGAGAGAGAAGGGGACAATGTGAAGAGAGAGAAACGGCGCAGCAGAAGAATGCTGCCAGGGTTGAGAGAGATTAGAAGTATGGGGCAAATGGAGGGCTCAGATTGAAGCCCTAAAACAAACGGTTCAGATCTTAGTTTGACTGGATTAGTGGGCTTTAGTTGCATTGGGCCCAATTTCACGAGTTAGACTGTATTTGATTAAGTAATAGGCCCAGATCACAAACAGATCATTTCTATTGGGCTCCAAACTTAACACTCTCTCTCTCCCTCCCTCCCTCCCTCACACACGCACACACACAAACACTTAGGTTTGGATCATTTAAGTTGATGGATGCCAAACAATAAGTTCAATTCTAACACGTTTAATCGATTGTCTCAATGACAACAATACATATGGTGGCACACATGAAATGCCTTCATGTTCTTTTTTTTTTTCCACACGTTTAATCAAAGACATTTAACTAATAAAAAATGTGGGAATTTATTAATAAAACGTTATATCGTATTTTAAAAAATAAATTGTTATAGTGCATGTGAGAATAAAAGAAATGATCATTGATATTTTAAATATTAGCAATGTTAATATTTTTAATTAGATTTTGAAAATGAAGTATTTGTTTTTTTATCTAATCGAAACCTTTTCTTTTCTTTTTACAAATAAAATATCAAAATACCTTCAAAAATATCTTAAAAGATATTTTGATGGACTTGTAGTTAAGCCAAACATTCTTAAATACATGTGATTGTGCTACTTCACCTAAATTTTCTTTAAATGCTTATGATAAAATAAATCATTTATGATTAAAACAATATCATAATAAAAATGTTAGCGAGGATTAGGTTGCGGATTGGGACATCGCGTCGTGTACGTATCATTTAAGGTTGTTAAGTCGTTAAGTAGGTTGTGGTTCGTTCATATCAAACTTTTGGGTCGAACACAAATGATTCTAATTACATAAAAAAATTAAATCACACGTAAAGATAATTAACATTCACTTGTTATATACGATTACAGTCATCTTTATCTATTTATGGAACATATCTTCCGTATCTTCTTCTCTAATATCTATCTGCATGCTCGCTATATATCGACGAGTGTTCTCCGAAGTGATAAATAATATGGAACAATTTTTTTCCAAAGCGAAGTTAACTTGTACATATATATATATATATATATATATATATATATATATATATATATATATATATATATATATATATATATATATATATATCTTCTTTTTGTCACCCCAATTAATAAATTATTACAATTTTATAGTATAGATTCTTGTAAGATCACTTTGCTTCCAATTACTATTATATATGAAAAAATCAAATAACTTTCATCATAAAGAGGAAAAAAGGAGAAACAAAGCAAAGTACAAAAATATGTACAGTGAACCAAAAATTAGGTCAAAATTAATAAATTAATGTTGAAGTTAGGAATTAATTTGTATTTGCATGAGATGGAAGCCATAAAGTAGAGAAGACCTATATATATATATTTCCTTTGACAAGGAAAAGTAGCTGAAATTTCCCACGTAGTGCATGATCCATGTTGGATCCACCAAATATTTTACAATACATATGTATAGGTCTATATATATATACACACACACACACACACACACACAAGAATGTCCTTCACAAAGACCCCTACACCATTAATTAAAAAGTAAAATCTTGTAAAAAAAATTAGGTACTTGACTTATTATTCATGCAAACATCAAACTTTAATCACCACGCAAACACTTAGTCTATGTGTGTGTGTGTGTGTGTGTGTGAGAGAGAGAGAGAGAGAGAGAGAGAGAGAGAGAGAGAGAGAGAGAGAGAGAGAGAGAGAGAGAGAGAGAGATGTTTAGTCTTTATTCATTGATTGAATTGAAGGATGGCTCCCACAAATTTGCATTTCGGGCCCTTCTATTTTTCTCATCCATCTGATTGGGGTTCTCCTTTGAACCCCTTCCATTATTCCCACTCTTTTTATCACAAAAAACCGGCAACGAACCAGAACTTGGCTTTTGATTGGTACTTTCAATGCCAAAGAATCTCACATGAAGATCTCGGGTCTTGACCTTCGGGCCGGGCTTAATCAGAATCCCACTGATAGATGACTTAGACTCAAACGGATCCATTACAATACTAGTTATTTTCTTGATTCGACGCCTGAGTTTTCTCACCGTCCGGCTAGGGACAACATAGTACTTTTGGCCCGGTACAAGCATTTCATCGGGCCTGACAACAGACTCCCAAGGCCTCAGAAATACTTCGGGCCGGGCCAAAATAAAAGAAGGATATTTCTCTATGATAGTTGATGCAGGAATAGCCATGTAGTAGCGTTCTGCATGGCCTCCTGCATGGACAATCTTCAAGGCCCGCGATTTTCTCTCTACCGTGCCGGAGGCCGTTGTCGGGGCCCGACTTGAACGAAACGGGTTCATATCAGAGAGATTATTAGTGGAGTTTTTGTTGCCAAACATTTTGTTAAGCACCATACTACTAAATTGAAAAAACCGTACAAATTGAGTATTTATTGAGAGTTAATATATAGATTGATTGAATATTACATTACACGAACGATGATTCCAAGAAAATCACAAATTAATTAATTGTAGCTTATGTTTAAACAGCCGGTTGCAATAGAAAATGCTGGCATATTACGATGAGGATGAATGCGAGTTACGGACGGTGATTTTAGCAAAATAGTCGAGACAAAAACAATATTATAACGAGTCCAGTTACAACAGTTCAAAAAGTACACATCATTTCCTTGCTATCCCAAAAATTTCTCACTTTACAGATAAAATAAGGGGGAGAAAAACACGAGAGACGAAGAAACGAAGCGAGCCCAGATGCAGAACAGAAACGAATCGAACATAAAATTAATTATACCCTAACAACCTCTCACATCATAACCTGCCTATAGAAAATATGCCAAAACAGAAAGAATCAAAACCTCTACCAGACTAACAAATGAAAGCTAGAAGAACCTATTATCGAAGAAGGGCTTCCCCGAAAGTATATCAAAGGGGGAATTGCAAAAACCATCTAACGAGAAGCAAGAAATGTTTTTTTTTTTTTGTTTTTTCTCGACTCGATTTAACTTTTAAAAAAAAAAGATTGTTATTATAAGTCACATGAATACCACAAAAAAGATATCAGCCAAATTTCGGTTGGCCCCCTTCCATTAATTTACACCCCGGTTCCTGTTTCTTCCGATCTCTTTCTCCATTAAATCCGAACATGTTCGAAAAAGTCCCATCGAGTAGGTAAAAGGGTCGTGATTTGAATTCGTCACTGCACTAAAGGTAGAAAAGATATCAGTAGTTACTCGGCCAGTTAAGCTGTGCATGCTGTGGTGGCTGCTGCTGCTGCTGCTGCTGCTGGTAAACACTGGCTGAAGGAACAACCATATCAACAGGGTTTGTAATGGCCTGAGATTGCTGCAAGAGCTGGTGTACGTTAGTGACCGCCTGTGCGGGGTGGAAAATCCCAGTGAAGGGTCCATGGCCCCCCTGTGTTGGGGCGAAAGCCAGTTGACCCTGAGGGAGGTTGTAGAATGAATTGGGCTGCAAGGTAGAAATATCCCGACCGGGACCTGTGAACCATACACCAGAGCCTTCATTCTGCAAACAAGGAAATGAACCACAAATCAGCATAATACATAAGGTTGTAGTTGGATTGAGGGATTTGAAATGACACCCATCGGGAAGGGATTTGAAATCCACCCAAACAACTCAAAAAATATTAAAAATAGAAGCTATATGGATTTGAAATTCATTGTCAAATGACTTAATCCGAACAACCTCAACGGATTTGTTAATATTTACTTGTGCAATCGTGAAGTGAGTTTTAAAAAAAATGCAAACAATTGCAGTGAGAGCATAATCAGCATAAAAAAACGAGATACGATACAGAACAAGGTTTCCTAGTAAACCACTTGACAATTGATTACCAGCACCATCTGTGCTAGCAATAGATAGTCTATGTGACAATGATAATGATATTTACCTCGGTAAGGAATATGTATCATCATTGAACCTTTTTTAGTCATAAGAGGGTTTTAAGAAAAATCAATCTCTATATAGGCCAAAATCATTTCAAAATCTAATCAGGAGAGACCTCCTCGAAAAACTTAGCTATGTCTGATCCACTACACTTCTCAAATTCTCCAACTTCAATTTTTTTTTGTGGAAATAAAATAAAAAGATCTCATTCTGACGTGATCTGAGTGCTATAGTAAGTTAGTAACAAATGCCTCCACTAAAATACAAATTCCCAAAATAAAATGGAAACATAGCTGACCCGAAAAGGGGGCCAAACATATCCTTACTAATGTTACGAAGATAATATATGACGCAACATTTACAAAAATAAACAAACCTGTTGGCCGCTGACGTAGATATTATTTTCCTTTACTTGAGAGGCAGCAAGATCCTCATTAGATGTTGAAGTAACAGGTGCAGGGGCAGAACTGGAAGCGTAATTAGCCATTGAAAGACCATACGGACCATAGCTTCCAGGCATTCCCATGTGGGCTGAGGTTCCTGTATTTGGTCCCTGCTTATACTGAGAAACCGAATATTTGGCATTTGTTCCAGCTGTAGCTGGATACAAATTGCCAGGCTGAGGTTGCTGCTGAGGAAATGCACCATTGCTTAAGAACTGATGAATCGGTGGTGGTGGGACATAGAAAGGGGAGAAATAGGGACCGTATGGAATATAGTTTGGAGGGTAGTGGGATAGATGAACGCCAGCTGGTTGACGGAAAACGGGAAGAGGTTGCTGCTGTGCTGCATTTATCGAGCTCTGCATCACTCCGGCGGCTTGGGTCACCAGTGCAGTTGGAGATGCTGTGGACAAAACCAGAGGGACACCACCCTGCAACTGAAAAAAGTTTGGTTCAGTAAACTCATTCTCGAACTTGGCTGATTTATAGAGAAAAATCAATACATTTATATATATGAAAATCCAATGAAATTGTACAACATATCTATAACAAGTGAATTATGAAAATAAAGAGGAAATGCAAAGAAATGACTTGAATAAGCATCATTATCTCAAACAAGTTCCAAAAGAAATATATCCTATAAACGCACATGGGTAACATAATAGATACATTTCTTCACAATTTAGATTAATAAGATTCTTCACCTCTAAGAAGTATAGCAAAAAAGTATATCCAACATACATGAGCTCCATAACAGCTTCTGTCATTAAATACAACTCCAAAACTGAAAATGGGATCAATAACCCGGCAGATATCATTATGTAATAAGAGAAGTTTCGAAATAGACTAAGCCTCCTCGGCACTTAGCACAATGACAATTGATTATGATTAACAGTGTTATCAATTAGAGATGAAGATAGTATACAAAATGATTATGAATAATACCAAGTGAAATTAATATGTAATACAGTGTTTAAGTTGATTAACCTTCCACTACCATATTCTTCTAGATAGAAATACCAGTACACAAGTACATTTTCTCAAATGCTATTGTATCCTTCAACAGCATTTATATTAAATAATTACTAAAAAATCCCCTGTGATAAATGCTGTTGAAGGATACATAATATTTGTTTAAACACCAATCAAGGTCTTTGAAATATCCAAACTTCACAAATAGAAAGCACGAAGAAATAAAAGCCAAACCTCTTGAGGAGAATGAGAACTCTGTGCAGAAACCAGACCAGCATTTCCATTATACTTGTTTGCTGCTCCAGCAGAGTGGAAAGGGGAAATACGACCATCACTATCCAAACCAGCACGATAAAATTGTGCATAATAGCTTGCTGGATCAAAAGATTGTGGCATCTGTATAAAATTGACATCAATAGGTTAGATTACAGAATGTAAAAATCCATACCGACATTCAAGAAATGACAAGACTTGTATCAGTTGAAAAATAAGAAATATGACAGCTATAATACATGGATGGACAGGACAGAATGCAGGTTGTTTTAGCAAATAGGCTTGGAATGTTATATGGAATAATGAACAGATAAATGACATATTAAACATACAACAAAGCCTGGAAGTCGATGAGCATCACGTGCTTGAGATTCCGAACTTTCCGAAGGTGTTAGCTGGCCACCCAATATTGGTGGCATGAATCCATAACTGTAGTTTGAAGTATGGAGAACAGGGTGTTGATGGCTTGCTGGAGCAACATCTGGCCTGGGCTCACTATAATCAGGGGAGATAGAGGATGAGACTTCAACCTCGCTAGGTGAAATTTTTTCCAGTCCTTCTGAAGGTTGTTGAGGGTGGTCGGGATATTTGATTTCAGTATCATCTGCAGCCACCAACGCGTTTTGGTTGCTGTAATCAAGCAAAAAGTACAATGTTTTTAGAGAGAAAAACATAAGGTGAAAATAGAAACTGAAATCTAAGATAAAAATCTCAAGTGGAATGCTTCAGAAATGACAAAATTCAAACACTGGCACATGAATATACTCATATTACGTGATTCCATGTTAGGTATATGCATGCACAATTACATTTTTTTTAACTCGCTAATTGCATGGTGTGATTGAACAGTTTGTAGCATAGTTACATATTGTTCAGTCAATAATTGCATGGTATAATTTTACAATTCTAAACTCTGGGAGAGAAAAATGATAGTAGTCAAAGCAGACAGGCAGCAAAGGCTATGAAGATAAAATGTAAGAAATTGGAGATGGGAACAATCAACAGCTATTAGCAACAGACAGAAGACAAAACAATCATCAAAACACAAGAATGATGACAAGGGCACAAGATTTTCAAACAGAACAAAGAATAGTTCTCAAAGTCAAATTTGTAGAAGTACTATATTACAAAGAGAACTAGTAATATTTGTGTGTGAAACTGTGACCACAAAAACTAAAAAACATCCAGTGAATACACTTATCAATTATCCCATTAAGGGCAAAAGTAAAATTTGTATAAGCTCCCCACGTCTAAGATACTTATCGTAATAACAAACTTGAGGAGAAGCCTTATTCCTAACATAGCAGCAAGGTTCAGAAAACTTTCCCTCAACCACAAAAAAGGGCCTTCGTGTTTAAAGAAGCAAAGATGTATAACATCATATTTATAAACATTGACAATAAACATTTTCTTTAACAAGGTGAATAAACATATATAAATCATATCATGAATCTAGAGAGCTGTAGTAACAGATAATGTAAATTTTAAGTATTGATTTAAACAAGGGACTGTATAATATTTTAAGGTTGGGGTTCATCAACAGTTGTAACTAATTCCAATGAGGAAATGCCTATGAGCTACGTCTAGGCCTGAGTATAATGTGAACTCTACTCTACATCTAGAACAAATTATCACTGATAAAAATCATGCTAAATAATCAGAGGAGAGGTAGGGGTAGCCTTCAATTGAAATAAGCTTGTAAATAGATCAGCTTAGCAATGAAATACCACATTTAGAACAGAACAAAAACTGAACTAGAGAACTGAGTCTGAGAAAAGACACCTCAACTGTAGCTCCTCCACAGGTTCATCAATAGCCTCAGGGGATTCAAGCTGTAGTGGAATCCTGTCACTCCCTGGAACTCCATTTTGGTTCATGTCCAATTCAAAGCTAGCATCAAAACTTCCAAAACAAAATCCAAGTTTCTCAACTTCAGGAACATGAAGGTGACTTGGAATGATCACATGTTGGCTATTTGACATGTGCAACTCCTCTAACTTCCTCTGCAGCTCTATAGTGGATTCTTTTGATGTGAGGACAGCAGTTGTTGTCTGCAATGCCGGATGAGCACCAACAGATACTGTAGGAACCTCCGATGAAGAAGCTGCAGGGGCATCCTGACTGATATTGGAGTTTGAAGACTTCGGTTTCCATTCTTTTCCAGGACCCACTGTTGCAAAATATAAATAGTTAGTACTGCATTGCTTATTTCATACTCAATAAAGAAATCTTGGATGCAACCATTCGAATCAAATTATTGTTTTGGAAATAGTCACCATTATGAGTTTGTGTCTGATACTAATTTAAGTTTTAAAATGTTCTACTTCCATAGCATAGCAAAATAGTAGCACAGCATTCAGGCTAAATATTGGAGATGAAATAAATTTTAGGTTACCGTTCACTTAAAAATCAAATTGTAAGAGAAATACAAAATTAAAGCATATGAAAAATCATACCTTTCTGTGAGCCAGTTACTTGAGACCGATTGTTGTAATTAGATGAAGGCCTACTAACAGTAGAAGTACCAAGAGCAGAAGATGCAGCTTGCATATCTAAATGCTGATTCTTTCCAACTACTTGTGAATCTTTTGGCACCTTTTGTTGCAAAGTGGCCACTGCGACATCAGAAGAGGCTACAAATGCAATGAGTAAACTTCATTAGATGTTCTGTGGTACTGAAGAAAGAAATCAATAATTTGAAAATGAGAACAGATATACAAGTCGGTTTCTAATTAGCATACATATTCTGGCAGAAGCTGCTTTGTTCTCATTAGGATTACCATCAGTCAGTTCAGTAGGGACTCGCTGGCTTCCCACTTCACGTCGAATACTAGGGGGTGGTATATCTTGAGAAGGCAACAGTACAGGATCTGAAGAAGAGAAAATAGATCCCATTGGAGGTGCCGAAGGAATGGGTGCTGCATTGTTGCTCAACTGGTTATACTTAGTCCCTTGACCATTGGGATTTTTAATGGAGTCAACAGGTGATGAAAGCAGAAAAGGTCCCTCCGACTTACTCAAGCTAGCCGTTGTATTGGATTCATCAACACCTCCACCTGCAGATACATGGTTGTCATGTATCACACTGGTAATCTTGGGGATGATACCAGATGGACCATTAGATACAGCAGTAGTTGGGCTGCAAAAAAAAGGAAAAAAGAACTTTCAGGAAACATTGAAGGAGGAGCAAAGCGAGGGACTATAAGTAGTCTGTATCTTTGAAGTGCAAATGTAATGATTTTAACTAAAAACACAACATAGTATGCCAACATCAGAAGCTCACACCACCTATCGCACCTTGAAACAGAAGGTGTGTCATTCTTTCTCATATCTTGTGAGGTGGCTGATGGAGCCTTGCTAGGACCTTTCTCTGTAAGGTTAGTAACATTTTCCTTCTGAGCAGCCAAATTTCTTCCACCACCAGCATCTGACAACAAAATTATGAGAACACAAGAGAAATGATAAGATGAATGGAGTAAAAAGGTGGTGCTTCCAAGTTCAAGACCGATCTTGAGATCCTTTTGTATTGCTAATCAGTGAAGCAGGTTTTACAAAAATAATAAGTAGGGAATCACTATCGAATATGTATCTAAGGGCACTCCCAGCGGGCTCACCATGAGATATGTGTCTAGATGGATAGTTCCCACGGCCCACTCTATTTGCCCTGACCTGGGTACCTGGCTTCCACTTTATTTCTGCAGGCTCCTTGTTCAGATTCTGAAAAGGTACAAATAGTAATTCAAACAGTCATAGCCTGCTTTACAAATGCAATTTAGGAGAAACTTAAAGAAGGGAAAAAGGCTCCTTATTAGCAGTACCTCTTTCTTCCTATCTCGTTTTCTTTTGACTTCATGGAATGTATCTGTAGAAGAATACGAAAACAGTTGTCAGCATACCTTGTACAAAAACTCATAAACAACGAGAAGCAGAGCACGCCTGCAATTGAGCTTCTAAGCAGGCAAACAGAATAGTATTCTTCCGTAGAAACAAAATTGAAATGATGTAACAGTATAATATTTTAATAAAACATGAAACACAAGTGCAACACCTAGTTGAAATTCAATCACAAACCTTTGTGTTATCAGGGAATGACAGCTATATGTTCAAGTTACAGGCCCAGTCCCTACTTATTTACTAGGGGTGAAACAAGATAACTAAAAGCCTTTTATTTTCCGACCTGACAGCCTAAAATCCATATTTCAACAGTCGTAAAACCTCGTGAAACCAATGAATTTGCAACTACATCTCAACCCAAATAAAGTAATACAAAGGCAAAGGCAAGAGAACCCAAATATCTGCGAACATTGTAAACATTAAGTTCAAACTGAACCAACACGACTCAAATTAACAATTAGAACACTGAAAGGCAACAAACATCATAATATGGAAAACGACAACCCTCGAAGAGCTGAATAACACTGCAATAACAACAAATACCACCCTTTTCAATAATACAAAACCTTGTTCAGCAGCTGAAACAGCACATAGACTAGTCTCAACTGACCACAAGTACAACAAGAGTTCAAACCCATACAAAAATCATATCCTCCCCACCCATTTTATTCCACTAGAAACCTCAGCATACATATATACAACACCACTAAGTAGAAACAGAAAAACGCCCAAAAAAAAAAGCATGACCGCGTGTGTAAAATTGCAGATCAACAATCGAACTGTCCGTTAACAATGGCAACACAGATCAAAAAACAAAAAAAAAAAAAATCGAGATCAAGTACCGCACAAATACACAGCCAGGTAAAGAAAAAAATAAATTATTGAAAAAAAAGGGGGAGAGAAGGGTGGAGAAATTGACCTAGAAGTAGAAGCTTCTGAGTAGTTTCGTTGGGATCCATGGAACACTCCTTTAGCATTGCATAAATCTCATCTTCAGAGTGATTCTGACCAGTAATCTCCTTTATATTCTCGATCGTCTTCCTAACGCCGCTCGGAATCGGAGCCGAAGCCCTACTTCCACCTCCCTTAACCCCACCACTGCTCATCTTCTTCTTCGGCAATCCCCCCGACAACCAATAACCCCTATATATGTGTATGTATATATATATCTATATATATAATATATACTTATGTATATGTATATATATAGTAATATATATGATTAATTAAACAGGAATAGTAATGGATTGATAATGCAATTATCAGTATTGTTGTATAGAAGAACCTCTGCCCGTTCTAGAGAGAGAGAGGGAGGGGGAAGAGAGAGAGAGAGTTTGTCTGTGTGTTTGTGTGTGTGATTTTGTATTTGGGGAAAGAGGAGTGAGGACTTGGGGAAAGGGTTTTTGTGAATAATTGAAATTGTATTAATAGATGTAAAAAAAAAAAAAAGAAATCAATTGCTATCTAGTATATTTAATTTTATTTATTTAAAAAAAATTATATTTATGTATCTATTCGTCTGAGTTTCGGTAACTTTTTTTTCTTGTCTGAGCTGTGTTTGTTTCGGCTACATACATTATTACAATTAAAATCCTAAAAATTCAAAATTAAATATTGATCATAAAACATTCCACAACCACTGTAATAATCCAAATTATAATAATAATAATAATAATAATAATAATAATAATAATAATAATAATAATAATAATAATAATAATAATAATAATAAGGATGATTGGATCCATATTGGACTTGTCTTGTTTTTGGGCTGAACGGATTCGAAGTCAGCCCATAATGACTTTGTCCTTTTTCAATTCCCCGTCACATTTTTATTTAGGGTAAATTTTATTTTCTATATCGATTTGCCCACTGTACTTGAAAACTTGTCTCAATGTGGTCATCGCCGTTAGTTAAAATAATTATTAAAAAAATAAAAGAAAATTAAAAATAAATTGTGGCCGGCGTCGTGTACTGTGTTTTCTCGTTGTCTTGAATATTTAATTATTTTTTAATAATTATTTAAACTTGGAGAGGAGACGGTTTTATAATTTCAGAGCTTAGATCAAACGGTGTTTAGGGGTGAAAGTCGGATGGATCGGATTGGAATTAGTCTTTTCGGAAAATTTCCAAAACATTTCGGAAGTAGAAAACCAATTCCAACTCCAATTCCAAAATTTTCGAAATCTAAAAATTCATTCCAATTCAAATGTCCCGGAATTTTCGGAATTTCGGAAAAGAATTGGAAATCACATGAGCTTAAAAATTTCAAAATTTAGCGGATTTTTTTTCAAATGTTCATAATTTTCCAAAAATAAGAACATCCACGTCGATAAAAGTAAAACTAATAACTACTAAATTTCAGTTCAAAAAATAAATAAACATAAACACAACATAATATCTAATAAAACTTCTAACAACAATTCATTATGTCAAAATCGTAAAACAGAACTTAAAGGTGTATTTTTCGGAAAGATAAGTATTATATAATATTTATTATTTATAGGTGTATTTTTCGGAAAAACATCGGAATTAATTTCGGAATCAAATCGGATCGGAAATCGGAAATTCCAAACCTATTTTATATAATTCCAATTCCAATCAAAAAAATTCGGAAATCCGAATTTCGGAAGTCGGAATGAAAAAAGTTGTTCCAAAATCGGAACTTTTCGGATCGGAACCGACGGAAATTAGAATTTCCTTTCCAACTTGCACCCCTAGGTGTTAAGGTCAAATGTCTAACAACTAACAACATGTCACATTGAAACAATTTTTCAAGTAGAGGGGGACAAATCAATGCAACCGAGAGTACAAGGAGTAAAGTGATACCGAGCCAAAGTACAAGGGAAGTGGAATTTACTCTTTATATATATATATATCAAGTGGAATTAAATTCATTCAAAGTCGTTTCGTATTTAAATTTAAATTAATAATCGTACTACACCTGGTGAAATACATCAAGTGGTTTTAAATTATATATCTACACAAATAACTATCTACTAAACACACATGCATATGAATGTGTGTTTATGTGTAGATCAATGGTGGTGTAAGAATTAGTTAGATTCGATGTCGGGTGATAGAGTTATGAATGATTCAACGAACATTGTCTTAACGAACAATAAGTCAGCTTCAAACGTATTTTGACCATCTTACGATTCGAATCTGGCGAAAACTCAAAACATCAGTATTGTAGCTATTTCACTTGGCTTTCTAACCCAACTTGAATCATTTAAATCGGAGTTCGGAACACGATAAGACAGGGGAAGACCTAGTAATAAGACAAATAAATACTAGGATGTAAAGAAAAGGTTGATTCTATACAATCCATCCATCTTTTCTGTATATATTGATCTATAACTCTGTTATGAACAATATGATTTATTGTATTTTAACTCTGCTTCACAGAGCAACAAATATCTTCTTCTCGTCGAGAAAAATAAAATAAAACATTCGCACGAAAGTTGCATTACTTTTCGTCGGATGTTGGTTTCGGTGTTGTTGGAGCAACCGATAACGAAGGTCGAAGGAGAAGATAGAGGGCGGGACCCACTAACGGAATTACTGATAAAGGAAGAAGCCAAGAGCTTTTGCCACCCCTACAAGATTTCAAAAAAAAAAAAAAAAAAAACAATATATTGATTAGTAGCATCATATTCGAAGAATTACGTGACAAAAATTGATGAAGAAATGAAATAATATTTGAAATAACCGTTACCGAGCAGTCATGTCGTTGTAGACCCAGAAAGGCGCAAAAGTCGAAAGCAAACTGAAATCAATACTCATCACATGAATCTGCAATAAATAAATAACATCTTCTCCATAAACCGATAAATTCATATTCGATAAATTGATAACCTTGCTTGAATAATAATTTATTCCGGTCCCGACTGGGTAAAAACGTACTAAATTATTAGTTCGATAGTTTAATATTTCGCTAAATTAATAGAATTTTGTTAGTCCTGACCATATTAATTTATAGAGGTTTAACTGTATATGTAGATTATAGGCAACCACCCCTAAGGTATGGTTAAATTACAAGAACCCCTCTTGTTTGGGTAATTACAACCACCCTCAATTATAAATCTTCTTACACGTCCACCCTTGCGGTTTCAAATTTTGTGGAATCTTCGAGATTATATGGAATATTATCACGTTTGTACCCATTTTATCATATTCGAACTCCACATTTTGAAGCAAGATGATCATAATATGTGTTTTTTGGCTTGTATATATATCAGATTGTGGTGCATCAGAAACTGTATTTTTATACAAAATGAGTACAAACTAGATAGAGCACATTCCACGAAATCTAGATGATTATGTTGAATTTGACACCATAAGAGTGGAGATGTAAGAAAAAATCATAGTTCAGGGTTAGATGTAATTATCCAAACAAGAGGGGTTTTTTTGTAAATTGACCATACCTCAGGGGGTGTTTGTAATTTACCCTAGATTATATTATGTGAAAGTGTCCATCAAGAAACAAAATACTTACAAATTTGCTTCCTTGAAAGTATTGGTAAAATTCCTTCCACACATCACCACCGGACGAAAATGCGTAAACGACTATAGCCAGGCCTACCGCCATTGTAACCTAATATATAATTGGAGTTAGATACATTTTCGATATATATAACGAAACTCAAATGCAAACGAATAGTTATTTAGCAGTTTATATTACTGTCGTTTGTAAGCCCCAAATCATCGTGCAAAAAAAAAAAAGAACGCCGAGCATTTTAAATAGTGTCGATTCATCTGATCTTTTTTTTTTTTTAAATTATAAAGAAAGTGAATCGACTTACCCCGGCAGTTAATTTCGATTCAAGGAAATTGAGAGGCCATTTCCGAAGCTCGGATTCTTCAACAGGTGGGGCCGGTGGATTCCAGAGAATAAAATAGGGGATCAAAGCATATGCACCTCCGAAGCACGATAGAACAACAAAAGGCCACACAGGAATTTTGCTTTTCGAGCTGCACAAAAACGAACAAGTATCATTGTATACAGTTACAGGACATATTTTTGTTTGTCCCCAAGTCCCTTGTCACACATACATTTCGATTTATTGTGGGAATTGAAACGGAATTGGAATACATATTATATTCCGTTTTCCGATCCGATTTTAATTTCCGAAAATTCTGATTTTTCGTACATAAAAACTACACTTCTATAGTAGTATTAGGGCTCGTTTGTTTACCGCTGTAAGGTTCTACCGACTGAATAGTAGGGGCTAGTAACACGTTCGATTGGAAAGATTCACATTTTTTCAAACCCGCTGCTAAAATCAAAGTCCGCTCTTAAATGCTACTATTTCATTAAATTAGTAGCACCCCTCCCACGAGATTAATTTAATAGGGGGTGACTAAACAAGTAAAAGACTATTTTATCCTTCAAACTACATGTTAATTTTATTAAATAAAAGGTTTTATAGAAAAATCATATCTAATATAAAAATTTAACACAATTTAATACAAGATCTAATCTTACATACAGAACATCATAATAACTAAATAATAAATTAATCAGTAGCGAATTAATCCAATCTCATCTAATCTAAACTTATCCAATACTGGTAACCACACGAGCCATTAATATTACTATGCACTTACATTATAGCCGAATTCAGCCGATTACAATCCGAAAATTTACAATTTTGGGAATAAGTTTTTTCACTCCAATTTCCAAATTTCCGATTTTTTTGGAACGGGATTGGAATTACTTTTTCACTTCTTAAAGTACTAATTCCAATCCGATATGTCCGATTTTCCAACCCTAATTTTGATTAAGGATCCTCGAAAATCTCAGGACCCCCCCCCCCCCCAAAGAAACTCCGAAAATCCATTAAAACTCGATCTCAACATCCACTTCAAATTTCGAAAGGGGGAAAAGGGATTTGGATACAGTTAGACATCTTGTTTTTTTTGTCCCCGAGTCCCTTGTCACACATACATTTCGATTTGTTGTGGAAATTGAAACGGAATTGGAATACATATTGGATTCCGATTTCCGATCCGATTTTAATTTCCGAAAATTCCAATTTTCCAAAAACTACACTTGATAGTATTAATATTACTATGTACTTATGTTATAGCCGAATCCAGCTGATTCCAGTCCGAAAATTTACGATTTTTGGAATAAGTTTTTTCGTTCCAATTTCCAAAATTTCGATTTTGGAATTACTTTTTCACTTCTTAAAGTACTAATTCCAATCCGATCTGTATGATTTCCACCCCTAATTTTGATTCAGGATACTCGAAAATCACCGGAAAAAACCCCCAAAGAAACTCCGAATATCCACTAAAACTCGATTTAATCGACATCTGCTTCGAATTTTGAAAGGGCGAAAAGGGATTTGTGTATATATATTTTTTTACCTTCTGGCAGTTGGAATGAGCAGCATACTGTAGACCAATGGCCATAAACCCATGATGTACCATTCAGACACCAATACTTGGTTCATTACAAAACCATCATCTCCTTTCAGATTCAGCAGCTTTTTCAAGAAATACATATCTGTTGTCTTTAATTAAAAAAAAAAAAAAAAAAAAGATGTTCAAAATCAGACAGCAATCACAGTACACAAACAAAAGAAAGATGAACAGAAATGAGTGGTACCGGTGTTTGGTTAGGAGCAAGGAAGAAAACATAGTACATGAGACCAGCCCAGAAAGCAAACAGCAGAAACGACGTCGTCCAGTCCCTCTCTTCTCCTCCACCACCGCCGCCGCTGCCGCCGCCGTCGCCAAGAAGCTCCTTTTCCTCGGAAGTCGAGGAAATAACAGGTGGGTTTTGTGGGGTTTTCTCAGTATTCAACGAACTCCGGCGTAATTGGAGGTGAACCTTATTCTGCTTTATCAAAAACGACGACGTTTTGGACGGTTTTGGCCGGAAAATTGAATTCAGCGGCGGTGGGATTAGGGATTTGGGAGGAGGAATTGATGATGTAGAGAGAGAAAATCGGGGTTTGAGTGGGAGAGAGAAGTTGCAGGAGATTATATTGCTGCTTGTAATCATCGTATTCTTCTTCTTCGAGAGAGAGAGCTCTCTTCACTTGTCTGAACTGAATTTCATACATTGTAATAAAGGCGTCTCCCGTTGATCGGGAATTTGCAATTAAGTCCCTGAGAAATTATGGAAAATGCAAAATTGCGGTAGAGTTGTTTGGACAATTTCAATTAAGTGCCTACAAGTTATGGAAAATGCAAAATTGTGTTAGAACTTTGAATTATACTTTTTAAGTCCTTTTTTTTTCCCTCTATTTTCTTTTTTCATTTGTCAATCAAAGACACATGTAAGTTAGGTGTGGATTAGGTATCCATTTACTTATTATAAAGTTTACATTATATGAACAAAAAAAACTAAATTCGAAAATAGATCGAAGAATTTGAATTTGATAATTTTTTTTTTCAGAGATTGACTTCAAATAACTGTATTTTATGTTTATAGTTTTAAATTATGTTCAATTTTAAATTTATTATAATAAATTCATCTCTCATTCAGAGGGTTTCGACCATGATTTTTATAATGTCTTTGATAATATTTTATTTTAATTTCCTTCGTTGTTGATTTTACTCGTACACAATCACAAATCTAATTGATTAAAAACTAGTTGAATATATTTTTAACAAATAAAAATACAAAGAAATGAACCTTAAATCTTAATCGAAATTGGAAATATGCATGTCATAATTTTTCGATGATGAAATAGCAATAGAATCAAAATAGGACGGGCAAAAGTGTAATTACTCTCTTCTTTTGGACCAACCTGTAAATTTGTAAATTTAGCAGCATTCATCAAACGGTCAAAAAACTGTCAATCCTCTTTTCGATAACAAGAGATAAGGCAACTAACCCACACAAATTCCCAATCAAAATTGAAAGCCAACGCCATCCGCCATGGCAGAAGCTTCGAGAATCCTCCAAACAACACTCGTCCACACCTTCTCTCAAAACCCTAAATCTCAAATTACACTCAGAGCCCACTCCAATCGTCGCTCCTTCCCTCCAATCTCGAAAAGCAGCAGCCTTTTCCGCCCAATTCGCTGCTCCGTCACCACCGCCAGCGGCGGCGGCGGCGAAATCGCCACCCAAATCGGCGTCCCATGGGGCTGCGAGACAGACTCGGCGGAGAACGCGTCGGCGTTGCAGAAATGGTTGTCGGAGTCCGGGCTTCCACCTCAGAAAATGGCGATACAGAGGGTGGAGGTAGGAGAGAGAGGGCTCGTCGCTTTGAAGAATATAAGGAAAGGAGAGAATTTGCTCTTCGTTCCTCCCTCTCTTTTCATCACTGCTGATTCTGTAAGTGCCTCGTTTGGGAATATTGATCCGATTGATAGGATTAATTGAATTCGATGTAGGATAGGATTATATTGTCCATGATTATCTTATGTTTGTGGTTTATGATTATATAATCCTTGTGTTCGGAAATATCTTTCGTAGGATTGTGTAAATAATATGGGTTGATGTTATGATTATTAAATTCCAAGCCCGTTTTTAGTCATGGGCTTGGAGATGCATCTTGATTATTTATGATTATATAGTCTATCAAGACCTATCCTTGTTCCCAAACGAGGCCTTAATGGATAGACTGATCCATGGGGAAAATGACAATGGATTATAGATATATAGGATTAGAAAGATGTGTTATTTTCGTGATTGTAATAAATTAAGGCCTCGTTTGGTTAGGGAGAGTAGCCATGATTAACTAAATAATTGGATTTTGTTTGATGTTTGGTACACCCAATAACCTCACGGGTCGACTCGGACGCGTATCTTGACTTTTAGGGAGCTTTTTCATTGGACCTTCGGTGGGCCAATAATATAATTGTGTTTCATCAGATTATTTAATTTTATCTTGGCTAATCTTATCCCGGCTAATCTTATGCTGGCAACCAAACGAGGCCTAAGTGGACTATATCTTTTGTATTATCTTGAAATATTTTTTGTTACTAATTGGAATTAAGGAATGGAGCAATCGTGAGGCTGGTGAAGTGATGAAACGGTACAACGTGCCCGATTGGCCATTTCTTGCTACGTATTTGATTAGCGAGGCGGGTCTAAAAAGCTCTTCGAGATGGAGTAACTACATTTCAGCTTTGCCGAGGCAACCTTATTCGCTTCTTTATTGGTAAAGACTCGTGTTTTTTTTGTTGTTTTTAATTGTCTGAAAGAGGAGAGTTTTGTCGTAGTTATTTTCCCTCTATATACATGTGGGGTCCGCTCTCAGTTGGTTTCCCTACAGCAGCTCCATGTAATTTCAGGACGCGTTCGGAGTTAGATAGATATCTGGAAGCTTCCGAAATCAGACAGCGTGCGATTGACAGGATCAATGATGTCACTGGAACGTACGAGTTCTTATCTAATTTAGTCCAAAAAAAAAAATCGTTTTTATTTCGTTAATTTTGTCGATTGATGCGATGAATCTCTTATGCAGATACAATGACTTAAGGGAGAAGATATTTTCGAAGTATCCTGCTTTATTTCCCGAAGAGGTACATTCTTTAATCGGTGGATTATTTATTATTGGTTCGAATACAAATCGGCAGTGGAATTTTAGATTGACTTTAATTTTCGAAATGTTTTTTATGCTGATTCCGACCCTTCTAATTCGATTATTGTTACTATGTATTACTACAGGTGTTCAACATGGAGAGTTTTAAATGGGCCTTTGGAATTCTTTTTTCTCGTTTGGTAAGTTTTATTGATACTATATAAATGTTAACGCGTACTTTTACTATGCGTTTATTTATTTCTTTAATTCTTTTTTTTACTATTACACTTGCTCGATTCTTAAACAGGTCCGATTACCCTCGATGAATGGAAGAGTTGCTTTGGTTCCTTGGGCAGATATGTTGAATCATAGTTGTGAGGTATGTCTATATATTTAATATTTATATCCATTTTTTTTCGATGATAAAATTTTATATTATATTTACTCTAATTGTTAATTATTTGATTTGATTGATGTAGGTAGAAACTTTTCTAGATTACGACAAGTCATCTCAGGGGGTCGTTTTCACGACAGATCGAGCATATCAGCCAGGTGAGCAGGTACAATGTTCGTATTTTGATGCCATTTGATAATATTTTTTCATGAAAAAAACAAACTTGTGAAATCCCACTAGACCAGATTTTCCTGCACTAATCTTGATCGAGTTATTTCGATGATTTTTCATGCAATTTGTTCTCTATCGTCATTTTAAATCCTTAAAAGGGGAATTCGGAATTACTACACCTTCATGTATTACTTTGAGTTTATTGCATTTAGTACCGCTGTGTTGTATCGAATTACTAAAAAAATCGGCACCCCCCCCCCTCCGATAATGGCACACAACCATTAAATAGTGATTTTTTAGGGTGCAATATGCTAAAAGAATAATCATGGCGGGGTTTTGCTATTAAAATAACACGATGGGTTCTTTAACAATTAGAAAAAAATACAGGGTGCTGAATGCAATAAATCCATATTACTTACTTTAGTATATAGTTCAAATAAAACGAACCTTGACTAGAGATCTACATTTAAGAATAGGGTAAATTACGAAAACCCTCTGAATGTTTGCTAAATAACGATAAACACCCCCACCTATTCGTAATTACCAAAAACCTCCTGAGGTTTGTTTTCGTCTTACACCAACCCCTTACAATATGACTTTTCACGGATTTTTTTTTTATTCCAGAGAATAGACTTTACACAATTTCAGATATTTTCTTTTATTTCTCACCTATTTAACATAATTTATAAATATAATAGACTGTATATATTTTCTGTTAAAAAACTCGATCAACGGTTAATCAGAGTTGGATTTTGGTTATTACGGATAGGTGGTGGTGTTTTTCGTTAATTAGCCTAAGTTCAAGGGGTTTTCGTAATTTACCCTTAAAAATATCTCACAAAAAATTAAGCCAAATATGTATTGTGTATTTTCCGAAATGTACTACAAATCAAATAAATTTATTTATTTTTTCAAGAACTCATGCAACTACATTTTTCATTCTCCATACATAAAATCTTATAGACGAGCTTATATATATGCAGGTTTTCATTTCATATGGAAAGAAATCGAACGGAGAGCTTTTGCTTTCGTACGGATTTGTTCCACGTGAAGGCACTAATCCTCGTGACTCCGTTGAGATATCACTCTCACTTCTAAAATACGACGATTGTTACAAAGAAAAATCCGAAGCTTTGAAGAAACACGGACTATCTGCGTAGGTCTTCCTTACTTATCCTATATATACATATATTTTCGTATTAATAGGATTAATTGCATTTAGAACCCTTGTGTTATATCAAATTGCTAAAAAACTCCCCGTATTATAAATATCAGCAAAACCTCCTATGATTCAATTTTATTAGCAAACTACCCCCTAAAAATGCATCAATGGTGGACTTCTGTTAATATTTATAACACTGGGAGTTTTTTAGCAATTTGATATAACTCTGGGGTGTTGAATGCAATAAACCTATATTAATATCACTACACTTCCAAATAACTATATATATTGGTTTTCTGATTACAAATCGAATGTTACAAAAAACAGGTCGCAATGTTATCCTCTGCAAATAACTGGTTGGCCAGTCGAGTTGATGGCATATGCTTACTTGGCAGTAAGCCCACCGAGTATGGTAAACCAGTTTGACGAGGTCCGTTTTTTTTTTTTACTATATTTTTTTAATACGAAAAATATTTGAATAAACGGTGAATATTTCGGGAAATGTCTTATGAAAAAATAATGTGTAGATGGCTGCTGCTGCATCGAATAAAAATACGTCGAAAAGGGATGTTCGATATCCTGAACTAGAAGAAGATGCGTTGCAATTTATTCTGGATACTTGTGAAGTCAGCATATCGAAGTACTCCAAGTTTCTTCAGGCAAGTATTATTTGATGCTTGTTCGGGCTGGGCCGGGCCGGGCCGGAATTATGAAAAAAAATAATGAGATTTACTCGAACTATTTTATTTCTTTTTGCTACTTTTCGACAGGCGAGTGGATCGATGGATTTGGACGTGACAAATCCGAAGCTTTTGAACCGGAAACTGTTCTTGAAACAGCTAGCTGTCGATTTATCCACTAGCGAACGGAGGATCTTGTTTCGTGCACAATATGTAAGAAAGATTCTTTAAAATATTTAAATTCACAATCACACACTCGAAAAAGGGTGTGTCTTAAACGGGCCACGGGTCACAACCAGCGGGTCGACCCGTTTCATGCATTGTTAGAAAAATTCGATCTAATCATTTTCTTTGGTTTATGTTTTTTCTTATTACAAACCAGATATTGAGGAGGAGATTGAGAGATATACGAAGCGGCACGCTGAAAGCTCTCAACATTTTCGATGGGCTTTTCGGTGGAGTTAAAAAGCTATTCAATTGATCAATCAGCTGTTGTAAAATAAAATGTTTTCTTTGGGATCAAATAGTAATTATAGACTTAATAGTGGTTCATGGTGGAATTTTTTTGCCCCTTTTTTCTCATGCAATAATATATTTTTAGTGTTACATTTTATTTACACATAACCCCCTGTTGTTTCACCGTTTCAAATGAGGCTCGTAAAAGACTAAAATACCCCCATCCTTTGCTTTTTGCCTTTTCCTTTTCTTTTTTTCTTTATTCTTATACTGGTATTATTTGTAATCTATTGTTGGAATAACCTTAAATTTATACTAGTTATTATAATTATTTTTAAAATTTATTAGATTTAAAATTTAAAGTCGGAATTATGTAATAATAGAGTTTGAATATAATAAATTTTAAACCATGTAAGTTGAGATATTAAACCACATAAGTTAAGTTAAAGATGCAATGAATTCACGTGGATCCGATCGTTGATCTATCCAAGTCCGATTCACTTTGGATTTATTCATATAAGTTGATTTTGGATTAGGTTATTTTTATATTTGATCCACATGGATCCGTGATTCCGTTCAAGTTGAGTAAATCACCACCCCTAGTCTTAACTGACGGACTAACGGTAAATTGACGGAAATGACTAACTAAACGTATTAAATTGTTGAAACATGAGAGACTAAATTTGTATTTTGTAAACAAGAGGACTAAATGTGAGATCGAATAAAACTCGAGGGACTAAAAATGTATTTTCCCGAAAATTAATTATGAATCCAACTTCAAATAAATTAAATTAAAATTCAAGTTTGTATATCAATTTTAATTTTTCAGCGAACGATCGTAAAAGCAAATATCAAAATTATTTCGCCGTACACTAACAGTGGGTGAGCTGAGCCGCCGATTTTACTCCGGTAAGATTTCCGGCGGGTGACGGTGCGGGTGCCCACTTTTTGATAGAATTGCAGATTCTGTAAGTAGTTTCTTCAAGTTTTCAACTGTGTTTTTCTCTGCCGACTTTATCATCATTTTTAGGTATCGTGCGTTTTTTATCCCCTTTTCCGGCTGCAATTTTCCCTGTTTCTTTTTTGCGTCCTTCTTCTGAATATATTGCATCATCACTCGAAATTTTGATTTCTATGAATTTTGCATTTTTTTCGCGGACTGTTGACATGGTGTTTGATGAAATGCCTGAACGAATTTCCGTATGTATTTCTATTAGGAATGTTGATGTAAGTACTTTGTGTGCTGCACTTTCCTTCCAAAAATGCGGATGCTGTATGATGGCTGGATTGAAATTCTGAAGATTCAGAAATTTCGGAGAGTGGTGTCTTATACTGGATTTTC